ACCTAAACACACACTCGGCATACAATTTTCTGCTGCTGCTGCGCCCGTAGCTGCTGTCGTGGCTGATGATGCTGATGCGCGTGGTGCAGCTAAAGCGGCAGATTCTGGAGACACGCCCCCAGCCGTCTCTGTTGCTACGGGTCCGTCCTGCTTGTACTGAAGCTGCTGCTCTTCTTGAAGTACTATGATGCTGCCCGCGGCGCTGTTATTGCTGCTGCCGCTGCTGCTATCAGTCTTGCTTCTGCCGCTGATAAATAGCTTGCATACCCCCAATAAAGGGTCTGGGGCTAAGGTCTGTCCTCTTTCGGTGTGGAAGGCGGAGAGCGAGGAGAAGAAAGTGGCGCGGTCCATCAGGGCCCGGCCTGAGCTGCTGCTTCCACTGCTATTTGCGTTCATTGTGCTGCTGCTCATCTTGCTACTGCCGCTGGTGTTGTTGCTTTTGCCACAACGACGCTGACAACACTTTGCCTACCGCCCACGGCGCCAGGGCCGTTGGAGTTTCTTATGCAGCTGCTGTCAGCTCTGCTTCTCAGGCTGCTGCTTTTGGAGCTTTTGAAGGGATCGTACGGAGGATGCGCTGGCCCGCTGCCCCTGCCTCTGCTAGGACCGTTTGCTACTGCTGCTGACGCCGCTGTTGCTGTTGCTGTTGCTGTTCCAGTAGGCACAGGACAAATTGTACGTAACTGTAACGAGGCGCTGCTGCAGGCCCAAGAGACACTCGGGACACTTAGTCGCAGCAGCCGCAGCGCCTGCAGCAGCTCTAAAATTGCTGCTGCAGCCGCTTCTGTTGCCGCTGCTACTGCAAAATTGGCCGTGGAAGAGACATACCCCTGTTGTTCTTGCTGCTGACTAGACAGGGATACAGCAGCCACTAAGTGACTCTGCTGTCGGATTATGCTGCTGCTGCTGTTGCTGCAGCAGCAGCAACAGCAGCAGCTACACGGGGCACCAACCAGTGGGGTGGATGGTGCAGCAAGACAAAGTTTACTCAGGGTTTTCTGCGTGCCGCAGCTGTATTACTTGATGCTGCTG